ACTAATCAAAATAGCCAAATACAGACTCAAGCCACTTACCATATGTGAAGGAACCCTAGAACTATACAGGAATACCCACTCAATCTATGAAAGAAAAGAATCACACAAGAGAGTGCCAACAAATCAAGAGCGCCAAAAAAATAAATTTTATATATTTCAATAATAATTGAATGTCTTCTTCAACAAGGTATTTTTTACTCATATATAAAAAATTCTGGTACAAGTTCTCCAATGTATTATTTCACAAAATTTAAATTGCAAACTTTTACTCTCTTCTAAGTCATAAATATTAGCTCTTCTCCTCTAACAAAATTTAGTACTGAGCCATCTTTTCATGTTGTTATCTCAATCTTGTCTCATATTATCTCAACACTAGAATAATGAACGAGGTACCTTTCATAAAATAAATCACTTTCTTTCGAGAAGAAAAAAAAACATATATTGTGTGAATGTGTGGTTGAAAAATGAGTATATAAAAAAAAGAATTTAAAAATAATGATTCTCAAACAAACAGGGGCTGAATAGAGAGAGAGAGAGAGGCCGGCCACTATAGGGAGAAAAATAAGTTAATTTTGTCATCTGAAATTAAATTGTTATTGTGTCACGTAAGTCTTGTCATTGGACATTTCACCAAATTCATTACATTGATAATAAGTCACGAATAATGCTTTTTAACATCAGTGGTACTCAAGCACCAATCTAAATCGCTACATTTTAGATATTCAATTAATGTTACACTAAACTGACCTTCACAACCCACCGTAGTGTTTGTGAGTCAAGTCACTGACACTTTCCAAAATTTTCTAAACCAAGTCACTTTCCGTATATCCATTAATAAACCTATGATTTTTCAGGCGTCAATTTTGTACGAGTGGTCGACGAAATATCGTTAATAAATTGAAAAAAGGTCACATCCATATACTACTTTGGTATCATTCCAATTTGACGTGTGATTTTAACTTCAATAAAAAACGTAAAAAATGGGTCATTTGAAATTAAATTGTTAGTCGATAAGTCTTGCCATCAGACATATCAACAAATTCATTAAATTGATAATAAATCAACAATAATACTATCTAACACAAATGACACTAAAACTGCATTTTATAGGTTCAACTAAATGGGTCATTTGAGTTTACATTTAAATGTGAAATTTTTAAATTAGCGGATTTATTTAGATCCAACGTGCGGAATTACAAAATTAAAAGCAACGAATTTTCGCACATCACCTAT